GACGAGTTAGCTAGATGAAAATTGCAATGTGACTGGCTCCAAATCAAAAGTACGTGCTTCGATGGTTTCTGCGCACAATTAGGAGGGGAGCGTCCATGTTAACCCTGTTAGCCAGGCTAACACTTTGAAAAGCGAAAAATGAAAGTCTTCTATCCTCGAATATAATACACTTTTCCAACACAAGAATAGTAACTACTATTTTTCCTTAATGACGATCGTATCAATGAATTTCATTAAAAAAACAGAGTTTACTGTTGGACACTTTCAGTATTAACAGGTACCTGTGAGAACCTCAAGTCTTACAGGTACTTTTCTGTAATTACGATAAGTTAGAGCTCTGTCTTTGCGTACGGTAAAAGCGGATAGAACCAACAGATTGTGTGGAGGTCGCATCTGTCTGTCTACTGTATGAAAACGTGAAGACTGAAATGTAATGAGCTAAGAAAATTTGATCCGTCATTTGTTATGGGTTTGATACTCGAAAACGAAGTGCTGGGTAAAATGTCTGGACCTAAGAAGGTTGAAGGGACTGGAAGCTGCAGAAAACTGTATAATAATAAGCATCATAATTTTAACTCTTCGCCAAATATTATTAGTACGATAAAATCAAGAAAAATGATATTTCAGGGCACGTAGCACGCACAGATAAAATGTGAAATATGCATATCTACGACATATTGATCGGAAAACTTGAAGGGAACTTCGAGAACATAGACGCATCTGGAGGATAATATTAAAATGGATTTTAAAGGAAAAATTACATGAAGATGTAGACTGGATTTATGTGGTTTAGGATAGGGACAAGTGACGGACTTTTATATAGACCATAATTAACCTTAGGGTTGCAAACAAGGCGGAACATTTCTTGAAAAGCTGAGAGACTATTAGGCCTCTGCCCCGTGGAATTTGTTACACATTTAACCAAGTTTAAGAAAATAAGTATTTCATATCTATGCTCCTTACTTCCTTTGGAAAAAAAATGAACTTTTATTTATAATAAACTAATATTTATGCCAGTGGGTTAAAAAACAGTTTTTAAAGTATGTTTTACTCTGAAGAGTTAGTCTACTCTTTTGTAACTTGGTAAATTCACTGCATTACTTCTTTGGGGTTGAACGATTTGTGTTGAACATTACTATTCTTTTTCTACCTGGTTTTGTAATATTTTATATATATATATATATATATACGAACACTTTGCACTCGATAGCTCCATATATCAGACCTGGAGAGGCAGGATCGTGTTCAAACCCCGAGCTATTAAAGACGATTATATCTCACAATTCTAAATCATCTAACACAAATAATGTTTGCCTCGTGCATAAATTCAATTTTCGAATTATTAGTACGATTTCAATGGTTTCTCTTCTATAAAAATCCATTACCACATAATATTTCAATTATTATATCGTAAATAAACATTTTTAGACATGCTAGTCGTCAATACTGAAATCTGAAGCAGACGACGAGCTAGTAAAGATCAGATACATTGCCTGACATTTGGACTGTGCAATGTAAAGAAGATTTGAAGCTGGTTCTCAAGAAACCCACGCCTTACCGGACGAATAACTAGAAAAATTTACGAATCACCTTGTTAGTCTGAGCCTGAAGCATTTCGTGCCTTATCTTCAAAAAATCCACCAGCTTGTGTTCGATTCGTCATTATCTCACAATTTTTTTAAAAAAATTACGATCAGCAACACAAATAACTTTACATTGACTATATTAAACACTCGTATCGCAGAGCAGATACGGACATTACGAGAACCACACGTGGCCCACGAGCCACGGGTTACCCAAGTAAGCCCAGTATTTATTTATTTCTTAATTTCTAAATATAACAAACCAAATAATAGATCCAACTTTCGTGCATCAGTTGTCAGGTTATAAGTCTTTATAGAAATGTATTCTATCAATATTATAAATATGTACATCGTTCTTTCATGTATTGAGGCACTGATTTATTCTTGTCCAATGCTAGTACCAACATCAAAACACGATTAGTGACGCATGTAATTTAGTTTTCATAGCAACAATTTCGAATTATATTTAAAAATACTGAAAATAAATGCATTTCGTGTCACACTTGTCATATATATCATGTCTCGTTTAAAACACCTTAGCACATATTTAAATAACAATATAATATTACAGTTCATTAAGGTAGAGTTCATGACAAATGTTCGCCAGATCGTCAAAATAAAACTGTGACTTCAGTCTCTCTGCAAAAGTTCATACAGCGCTGATATATACGTTTGCGCCATTTGAAGTGTTTCAAATTTGGACAACTTCCTGTCGTTACCCAAAGACGGCACGACGTCTCTTAAACGATCAAAGGCGTCGTTTAAACTGTTCATCCGTCGCCTTTCTCTTGCATTTGCTGCCAAGCGTCTCTTCTTCATGACTTCCACTCCCGGAGTCGAAATCTGTTGACCTACAGATCTCACCTTATGTCCCGAAGACATTCCTCTCCTGTCCCTGTGATGCGGGTATATCACAGGACTGTCGCCACCACTGTCACTGTTACAAAACTCTTGTTGAACCATCGGGTATGGACAGCGATGAACATCCTGGACAACAGCCTCGTTCCGCCCTTCCGTCATCACCGAAACGTCGTGTGGATTCTTTTTGTTGAAACACCCGTCGTTCCCAAAGCGGTTCTCGTTGTACTGCCAGAAATTTTCATCGTCTTGATTGTAATAATAATTCTGGTAATAATTATGATACTGATTTTGTTGTGAATTATCGTGGCGGGGTCTGGGGGTGTGGTCAGCGTAGCCATGAGGGTGGTGGGGATACGCTTGCTTGTCGTACGTGGTAATGGGGTTGTTTACGGTTGTTGGACTCGGGATGGAGGTGAAGGAAGATGAATATATACTGTCGGGACTGGACACAGGGCTCCGGTAACCATCCGAAGACCCGTCCGATGGCCGTGGCAACGTCGATGGAACGCGATGCTGCGGATGGCAAATATATGACGCCATCATTGTCATCTCACAATTGTGACAGCTGACACAAAAGTGTTCTTTCTTAAAAAGACATAAACTCAGATGTCAGCAATATTTATCACACGCTCCATGTTTAGGACAAGAGTTTAGAATCGATAATCCGGCACATTAAACACGCACTGAATCTTCTTTGTAATATTCGCAATACATTCAAGATTACTCTCTGTCGATTAAACTTATTTTTTAACACCAGAGAATCACGTGTTAACACTTGAACAAGTCGATATACTTTACCATCAGTAACATTTAACTAAACAATTTTAAACTCTGGTGGATAATCCATTTGTATGTTCGTTTCAAAATATAACACACGTTACGTTTTCGCTGAACTCAATGTACTTTCTGTGCAGAACTTTATTAAGTTTTTAACACATTTAAACATACAAATGTACACACACAGCCTGTAATGCAGTTTGGCTAAATTTCTTTGCAAAACAACCTAAAATCTTTTAATATAACACGTTCAAACACACCGACAACCGAAAGTTCCATGTTCCTTGAACACGAATTTAAACCACTCGTATTAGCATTCGAAGGACAGATTCTTCTCATTTGCCGCTGAATATCCTTTGAGGAAAGAGTCATAGAATAAGCGCCCGGAAGAAAGGAGCACAGAGAAATCCTGTAGCACGTGTCCCGCGAGTCTGTTCCAGATGACTTCTGGGAGTCAACTGACTGGTTTAAGAGGTACATCTTAAGACAAGGCCCCAGCCTACCATCCTCTCCTAGCGGCCGACCGCGAGAGAGAAGCTACTGGCTACAGATCACGTGGTTTACGTGGCACCCAACGTCTTCACGCAAAAGAAGACCACGGTTAAGCGGACGAGAGTCGGGTAATTGCTTGAGGTGATACGGTGCTTAGCAGCAGGTGATCGTGGGGCAGCGTCTACGTTCCTCCTGCTATTTGCAAAGTCGTAACGCGCATTTATTTATTCCTGGTTTACATTACGACGACGTAAGTGGGCCAGATTACATGGCGTCGAATGATATAATGATTTAGAATCAAGATCGTGGCCTGACTGATGGTAGCATCTACTGTCATGGAGGGACTGTGGAGAACCACGGAAAATGATAGCCGGTATCCGAGATGAAATTTTAATCCGGGACCTCTCATATACGAAGCAACGGTGATAATCACGCGACGGAAAATTTCTGTCAACCATCACAGAAACTCTTCGTGTGCACCGTGGAACCAAGCAGGGTAGCGTAGCGGTAACGCTTTAAAAATTCAAAATAAAAATTATTCGAATTTTAACCTGGTTTAAGTTATCTGCCACCCGCCTTCTGAAATCTCTCAGGGTACCATAAATGTTATTTATTTGTTGTTCATTTAACGAGATTGCCAGTAGCTCAGACTAGAGTCGAATGAAGGAATTGATATTAAAGTGGAAAGGAAAGGGAAGGAATCGGTATTGGTTTAATTTAGGGTGCTATCACATCATTTTCCGAAAGTGGCTGAGGAAAAACGTTAGTATACCTGGTTTCCGGATAGAGATTTTAACCCGAAACGTCTCAAATACAATGAAGGAGCAGTATATGTTGTTTATGAGATCACTGGAGTGGCATTAGACTAATTCTGAAGCCTCAACTGACGAAATACCTCAAAAACTTTCACTTGGAAGATATTGGAGTAGTTTGAAGAAAAAAAAATATTAAAAAGAATCGCTGAGAAAATGTGCGTAAAAGTGAGGAATGAAAATAATTAGCCCTGTACAGGGCCCGATTTCTGGAAGTCGTGAGGACGCCTAAGAAACTTCCGATTCCACAAAAGCGAGAAATTCCTAAATCAGCTGAGTAGGTAACAACGGCTCGAACATACATGAGGACTGGAATCATCGATTAGTAGAAATTCGTAGTTAACATCCATGTCCCGTAAGATAATCTGACAACTGCTACAGTAAATAAAAAAAAACTGTCACTTCATCGCTTATACTTATTACATAAATTCCATCACTCACAAATACTGCTGACGAAGATGTTACAAATAAACAAATCAGAGTGGATATGCTGACTCCTTTAATTACAGCTCAGCTAATTAATAATTAACATCAGCCACGAGGGTTGTTGCAATCATAAAACAGCGCACAATTGGAATCCAGATGATTTAATTATTTTACTCGGTGTTAATGACTACCCACAATTTTTCTTTGTCACCTAAGCGACTAATCTCTGAGGATTGTCCCAGCGTTTGTGTTTACATCGGGATTAAGGCTTTGACCGGGATGTTCTTTTGTTAAATCTTATGTGGTACCGCCTGATTCGACTTCTAATGGTTAAGTGAAGTGTTTTCTTCGCGGTACGGTCTGGATTCGTAAATATTATTCAGACGAGCTTCGGCTTCAAAGGGTTAACCAGCTGATTTTCGTAATGGTGAGGTGTAGTGTTTTCTTCGCGGTACGGACTGAATTCATAAATAATATTCAGACGATCTTCGGCTTCAAAGGGTTAAGTGTCTCTGTTAATGGTTTTACTCAAGGCTGTTAGCCCGACTCAGGACACCCAGAGCAGGTGTTTGGCTCGTAACTGGACATTCCTGGGAAAATCTCGTAAAGCACGAAGTCGCGGATGTGGATACCAGATCCGTCCGGGACGAAGTACCTCCGGGTACAACGGTTCTGCTAAGGCGAATAACGCGATGTCAAAGTACAAAGGTCTAAAACAGGGGAGAGGATAGAAACAGACGCCTCAGGAGAACGAACATAAAAAGGAGTTGAAATAAAGAATCACAAAGGAAATTGAGAAATATATAATTATTCGTACAGGCGTCCCCCAGAATCAACGAGTCTTATTAGGAGTTGCAATTCTATTGAAGTTCCAAATGAACTCAACTGTTGACTTCCAGACATAATTTGCATCGAAGATGTCTTCTGAGATGTTGCACCGACGTTTCGGTAGAGCGAGAAATCTCACATAATTTTCACTGTCTATTCCCTAATGGCGTGTGATATCTTATGAGTATCCACAGCACAAGAGTTAGGAACTGCTCTCATTCTGATCATGCTATCGATTATCGATAGAGTACAGTGGCCTGTTTGCCCCGAAAGATATTTGCAGTTTGGGCCTAATGACAGCTCTGGGCCCATGACTTGTTGCTGGAGAACGTTCTGATACACCCTCCGTAATCATAGCTGTTAGCACTGATACAGATCAGCGCAAGAATTTGTCAATATACACGATCTAAATGATACAGATCGGTCAAGATTATATCAGCATCGCATGTGTTAATCAAGAACAAACAGAGTACAGTTCGGTGCAAGAGTACTGAGAATCACAGGCACTAATCAGTGCAGACAGGTTAAAAGAATGCCAGGACTTCAAAAGCCAATCGTTTACGCGGTGCATTCCTGACTTCTATTTCAGTTTCAAATAAAGTTTAATCTCTAAAACTACCGATTTTAATAAAATTTTACATATGAAAATCTATAACAAATCTTCATACTGAATTTAATTTTGATTTGCATTGATTTAATATAGGTTAATCCACACTGAGCTAAAGTCGAAATTTATATAATTTCTTTAAACTTGTTAAAAACGGTATTTGAAATTTATGCGTTCAATCCTGTAAATTTAAGAGAGGTTGGAAAATTATCACGAACAGATAGCATGAAAGAATGAGAATGGAGTAATAACTGCTTATTTGAAGGTACCTACGTCCTGAAATTTCAATGTGCAAACGGAGAATAACCACATAACTTATCAGTCAGTATACCACGTGACGCTACAAACATTTGAATCGGGACTTCCCGAACACGTTCTCAGAGGCCTACTCTAGTACATCACTTCAAGATTCTGTATTAATCTATCCCAGTGTGTCTCGAGCATCACAATTTGGTCCACCCGCCATGATTATATTACGAACTGTACAAAATTTAAAATGTTACCATTCATAGCAAGTTTAATGACAATCGGTCAACTGTTTCAGAAATTAAGAGAGTATTATGATGTAAGACTTGAGGTTCTCACAGCGGTGAGTATGAAGATTTCTGTCTTCTGGGTTGTTGCGCTGTGTAGTCTGGTAGATGTTAACCAACGTTTCAGAGGTCATACTGCCTCCGTCATCAGGGCGATGAGTTTGAAGATTTGTCTTCTGGGTTGTTGCGCTGTGTAGTCTGGTCGATGTTAACCAACGTTTCAGAGGTCATACTGCCTCCATCATCAGGGCGATGAGTATGAAGATTTCTGTCTTCTGGGTTGTTGCGCTGTGTAGTCTGGTCGAT